TAGGCATCTTGTCCACGAAGTCACGTCACCTGTACCTGACCTACACTCCATATTACTGCACCTCACAGAGTACGTATTTCTTACTACATCGTTGAACAGCAAGCGTTTGAAGGCCTAAAAAATGCTGGGCGGAAAGTACGGAGGCCAGATTGTACTCTGGCCACGGTAGATCACGTTCGTTACCAATGCCCCAAGTCTCACAAATTTATTTTACGATGTACTAACACATCTGGCTACAGAACATCCCCACCACATCTCGCAAGACCTTTAAAAATGTCGAAAATTTCGTTCAAGAGGCTGACTCGCGACTACAATGTATGACCCTTGAGGAGAATGTGAAGGATTTCGGGCTCACATACTTTGGCTTGGGAGATAAGAGACAGGGAATTGTGCATGTCATCGGGCCGGAACAGGGATTCACTCTTCCTGGCACAACTGTCGTCTGTGGTGATTCCCACACATCGACACATGGCGCTTTTGGCGCCTTGGCATTTGGAATTGGCACCAGCGAAGTCGAACATGTGTTAGCCACGCAAACCCTCATCACCAAGCGCAGCAAAAACATGCGTGTTCAGGTTGATGGTGAGCTTCCACCCGGTGTTAGTAGCAAGGATATAATTCTCCACGTGATTGGTGTGATCGGAACTGCTGGTGGCAATGGGGCTGTCATTGAATTTTGCGGTTCAGCGATCAGAGGTCTTAGCATGGAGGCACGTATGTCCATTTGTAACATGAGTATCGAAGCTGGTGCGCGAGCTGGCATGGTTGCACCGGATGAAATTACTTTGGAATACTTGAAGGGAAAGCCCTTGGCGCCAAAGTATGATAGTCCTGAGTGGAAGAAGGCTGTGAAGTATTGGTCCAGCTTGAAGTCTGATGTGGGCGCTATATATGATAAGGAAGTTTTCATCGACACGAAGGATATCGTCCCAAACGTGTCTTGGGGTACGTCCCCGCAAGATGTCGTGCCAATCACTGGAGTTGTTCCCGGTCCAGATGATTTTACGGATGAAGATAAGAAGACGAGTGCAAGGCGCGCATTGGAATACATGGGACTCACCCCCGGGACACCAATGCAAGATATCGTCATCGACAAGGTATTCATCGGATCCTGTACCAACTCCCGTATGGAAGATCTGCGTGCGGCTGCCCACATTGTTCAGGGCAAGAGGGTAGCCGCCAACATCAAGCGGGCAATGATTGTCCCAGGCTCTGGTCTGGTCAAACAACAAGCAGAGGCTGAGGGCCTTGACAAAATCTTCACTGATGCTGGATTTGAATGGAGAGAAGCTGGTTGTTCGATGTGTCTCGGCATGAACCCGGATATCCTCTCCCCCCGTGAACGATGTGCGAGTACATCTAACCGAAATTTCGAAGGTCGACAAGGGGCGTATGGGCGCACCCATCTTATGTCCCCCGTAATGGCCGCTGCAGCTGCCATTGTCGGCAAGCTTGCTGATGTCCGAACAATTGACACTGCTCATCCATTGACTCAAAAGAGAGGCTTACCAAATGTTGATATCGAGGCCGTCGTTGACGAGATGGATACTGAAGAGGACTTGGAGCGCATCCTTGACGTCCCTGAAGACGATGAACCGCACACTAATAGCTCTACACGTCATACCTCAGCTGGTCTGCCAAAGTTTATCATTCTCAAAGGTGTTGCGGCTCCACTGGACCGCGCAAATGTGGACACAGATGCCATAATCCCCAAACAATTCCTCAAAACCATCAAGCGTACCGGTCTAGGAAGCGCCCTCTTCTACTCCTTGAGATTTGACGAAGCCGGTGCTGAGAGGCCTGATTTCATCCTCAACCGAGAACCATACCGCCATGCCAAGATCCTCGTCGCAGGCGTGAACTTTGGGTGCGGTAGCTCCCGGGAGCATGCTCCATGGGCGCTCCTCGATTTCGGTATAAAATGCATAATCGCTCCCTCATACGCTGACATTTTCTTCAACAACACATTCAAAAACGGCATGCTGCCCATTGCCATCACCGATGACGCTGTGTACCGAAAAATATACGCAGAAGCGCTGGCTGGCCACGAGCTAGAAGTCGACCTCCCCAATCAACGTATCAGTGACGCCTCAGGAAAAAAGCTGGCGGACTTCGATGTTGAGCAATTCAGAAAGCATTGCCTTGTTAATGGTCTGGATGATATTGGCCTCACGATGCAGATGGAGAAGGATATAAAGAAGTTTGAGATTGCCCGGTCACTGGAAACGCCATGGTTGGATGGGACGGGATATTTGAAGCGGGGAGATCTGAGGAAGGCGCCATTGATGGTCCCAACTGCTGCTGTAGCAAATACAAAGGATGGTGAAGTAAATCAGGGCCAAATGGAGTGGTGAGGGGAATTTTCACTGTGAAGTGTGGAGGTTCTTTTAGCTTCCCTAGACCAAGTTCTTTTATAAAACAAGGGCGATCAATGGTGGTCAAGAGATTTGTTCTACCCTTGATCATATTCGTCTGTTTTTGGTTTTCCAGGCTATCTTGCAAAATAACCATGACACACATGTTCGTTGTTAATAATTTAATATTATTGCGTTTTCGGCTCTGCCTATGCATCTCAGAAGGAAGGAAAAAGTTAGTAAAAGGTGGGGTTTGATCAATTCCTCAAGCAATTTTTTATCCCTAATTGAATGGCAATTCTGGTCCTTTTTTGTATATCTTCAGACTATATTGTTCCCTCTACATTCATTTGTATATTGCTCGCGACTAACGGGCCATGGCATCCCGATTTTGCAGGAGTCGTCAGGGTTTTACTCGATATGGGGAGTCTTTCCCAATCCTTGGAAGCAACGACATCTTCTTGCTTTGCTAGACATGTCTCCCATCCCTTGTCTCTTAAGTTTATCCTAATCCTAACCTAGAATCCTGGTGTTTAAAAGATCTAGATAATGAGGCTGCTCGGGAATCTTAGATTATATATGGTTTAATGGTGGTTGGGTGGTGCAGCTAGAGAGGAAGGTTGATGCGTAATAGGATGAGCGACTTGTCGTTAAATATAAGTATTTTTATATCTAAGTGTGATGCGTTAACGGCCAAAAAATAAATTGCCTTCGTCTCATCCCATTCGCATTTCCCTCGTTGCCTTGGCTTCTAATAATGGTTTTCCGCAACAACAGCTGCCTTCCCACGTTTCTATGTACTCCATTTCGTCTGAGGGGATAACTGCTATTGAAATTCTTCCTTGGCTTTTTCCGGAGAGCAGTAATTATGCTAACCGAGATTTTTCGCTTCTAATATTCGCTTGGATTGCATTATCGTGCTCCGGGGGTTCAGAAATTAATGCCTGCTCCTCCCCCCTTCTGTTCCACCATAACTCTGAGAGGTAACTTGCCCCTCACCTCACCTGGCGATAGTATCATTTGCGGTATCGGTCCTGGGGCTTCAAAGCTGAACAAACGATCAGATGCTGTTGGGCTTCGACCGTGGAGTTTGGTCGCATCTCTGGTAGTGAGAGGGCCATGTAAAAGAAATCCCTTGAATAGGAGGCGTTATCGGAGATATTGACTGTAAAGAAAAGAGACATTGGGGTAGTTATTCACAATAATCCACGCTTCTGCAAATGTTAAGATTGATTTTGATTATGGGTGGGAAGCGAAACTAAGGTTCCAGCAGCTATGA